TCGATGAAATGAGAAAATGAATTTGTCGATAAAACGGGAAAAAAAAATTGTCGATGAAATGGACTAATTAAGGAAGTGTCGATGAAACGGGAATATACCCTTAATACAGTCATATAACTAAATCAATTCGTAATTTTTTTTTTTATGTCGATCGTTTGACAAGTGTGACAAATCACTTATTCATTACTCCTGTTTTTTGATATTTTTATCAGAAAATTTTATCTATGCATCAGACAGGAACTGTATGATTTCAAATATTTTGAAAACATATCCCAGCCATTTATCTTTTCAAGGAAGAATGTACTAAGACCTTTTCAACTTTGCCACTCATGTTGTCAATATATTTAATGCCGTTGATAAGATCTGTTATGAGAAGCGTAAGAGAGTAGGAAGCCGGAAAACTTCAATTTAAAACTTACACTTATTCATGGTGTAAATGAAATTGCTAATACCATTTATTTTTCACAATCAGAGGATAAATATGTAACATTTTTTTGCAAACCTTGCCTAAAATTCAAATATCTTCTATTAATTAGATAGATAATCATCTAGATTTCGATATGAAATTATTATTCAATTCTATTAAGTAAATAAACATACATTCCTTTACTTCGAATCTATCCAAACGTAAGATGAACAAATAAATTCGAATGATTCAAGCGCATTGACTTGCAAAAAAGAGTCATTTGCATTAACAATAACAAATCGTTTCAATGAGTGTGTTCTTAAAACTAATTCTTTTTCGTTCTCGAGGAAAAAAGACGCTCTGACATAAATAATAAAAACTTGATCTAATAGGTTTCTATGCATTTTCATTTAAAGAAAAACAAGCATTTTGATGTGCTATACAAACTGTGCACGTTTTTTAATAAGAAACTGCATATGTAGGAATACTTATGTTTTTTTAATGTTGCTTTCATCGGTATTTTCAAACTGTCCTGATTTGTTTTTGTGTACATTTTGCGACGCATGACAAATATATATATTAATTTATCAATATTATATGAAGTCTACAGTGTGATAATGACACAAGTCAAATTAATGTTATGCTTCACTTCATTACGAATATACAGGTAGAATATATAGTGAACTGACTCTATGATACAACCAAACGTTTATGATAACATAAACAAGTGAATAATAGCAAAATGTTATTGTCAACTCGTGATGCACAACGCGAAAAGCGAGCAGCACAACATTTCGTGGCAGCTACGATAGCTGACAGATTAAGTATTACTGGTATTGATAATGTCAGTTTTCGTTCAGATTCAATATCCAATAATCATTTATCTGTTGTACTATTCCGACGACAATCACAGGTAGAAATTCATTCACAACAAGTATCAAATCGACCAACGATTAATGATGCACAACCATCAACATCTTCGGAGAAAGGGCGATATCGTTGGAGGATGGCTTATTATTTTTATATTCATGTAGGTTTATTTATTTTGAGTGGATTATCATGTGGTTTGATCGTTTGGCTTATTGAAAATCATTCATCTTCACGCAATCTTCAAATGGAAGTAGCCTATATTGATGCTTGGTTTGTTAGTAGTTCATGTGTTTATAGTTGTGGTTTAACAACATTAGACTTTGCCAAACTTTCACATGCTTCTCAAATTACTCTTATGATATTTACATTTATATCAGGCGTTACAATTAGTACATTGCCAGCATTAGTTATTAAAGCTCAAACACATCGAAAAGTCGAAGGAATAACGGTTGATGATGATCATGGTGATTTAGAAGGCCGACCTAATGATGAATTACCTACATTTAATATTCGACATGAACAAAATTTACCAGAACATATGCGACAACGACTTGCAACATTACCAACTACAGCACAACTTCGTTTTCGTGCTTATATAACATGCATTATTTTTATTCTCAGTACTTGTTTTGCTATTTATACAATAGGATTCATCGCTATTGGTAGTTGGTTACAAGCACGTTATACACCTGAACAATTACTACAAGGAAATTATAGTGTTAATCCATGGTATATTTCATTTATTGTTACTGTAACAGGTTTTAATCAAAATGGATTAAGTCCTTTTTCAGATGGTCTTTCACGTTTTGTTCGCGATATTTATCTCAATTTGTTTGTTATGATAGTAAATAATTGCATACTATTTTATTTTTATTAGAAAGATTTTCAAAAAAAAAAACAATGTTCTTCTTTTAGGTAGTCATAAGTGGGACATCATTTTTTCCTTTTATATTACGAAATGTCCTTTTATTGGCACGTCGTCTATCTCCATGGCACCATAAAGTTATATTTGATTATATTCTTATGAATAATCATCGTTTATCTACTTTACTTTTTCCTTCTGTACAAACTCGTATTTATTTGTTTGTAACAATGTTATTGTATATAATAGGTGTTAGTATTTCGCTTATACTGGATTTAAAGCGTGATGACTTCGCTATTTATTCACCTGGTATACGTGTTCTTATATTTATTTTTCAAACAGTAAATACACGTTTTGCTGGCTTTCAAACTATTGACATAAATTTATTAGCATCAGGTACATTATTAGTTTATCTATTATTGATGGCAACTAAACCACAAATGTTATGTGCTCTTGATGAATCTCCATTTGAAATATCTTGGTTGGCATTACAAGCAAAAGAGGAAGCTAATGCTGAAACAGATTCTATAGTGAATGCCAATATTAATTTAGATTTACCTGCACCTAATAATGGATTAGGATCGACTCTATCAGCATCATCAACTGGTGTTTTGCCTATGCAACAGGTGAAACGTTTTCTACGTCGACAAAGTTTTATTACTAAAAATCTTGCTCGAGAGGAATTTACTAAACCAACACCAGACGATGATACTCGTAGTAAACCCCGACGTTTGCAATATTTGCGTGCTCGTTTATTTCTTATTTATTTTTTACGATCTATGATACAACATACAGTTAGTTTTATTATTTTAACTCGTACTTGGTTATTTGTTTTTATATTTCTTATATGTACTATAGAATATCGTAAAATGGCACCTGTCGATTCAAATATAACTGTTTTTAAAGTTATCTTTGAAATTATATCAGCATTTGGAACTGTTGGATTGTCACTTGGCTATCCGAATGTAGCATCAAGTTTCTCTACTGTTTTTTCACCAGCAAGTAAAACAATAATTGTTGCAACGATGTTAATGGGTCGACATCGCGGTTTACTTGCATCAATGAAAGATCAAGAAGCTATTGGATATAGTGCTACTGACTTACTTAATCAGCGACGTGAAGAAGTTTTTAATGAATATCAACGAACAAAATTTTATAGAAATCTTCTACTAACAATAAGATCGGAGGAATTGATTACAACCTTTTAAATATTATTTTTCTCAATAACTTTAAATTTTTGCTTTTTTTTTATAGTTCTGAATAAAGTGTCTTAAGTTTTTTGTAACTCAAAATCTATCTCTGATATTCAGTTTAAAACATACAATTAATAAAAGTGATCAAATCAATATCATTAAATGAAGTGAGAGTGTTTCGTTGGTTACATATGAAATCAGATGAATCGTCAGATCGAAGTGTAACATTGATCCATTCGGTTGATTCGAATAAGACAGTTCTAATATTGAATTAGAGAGTAGAGAAAAACGAATTGATCATCAACGAATTTATCTTTAATGTACTTGAAATCCTGTTTTTCCATATGCATGTTAATTTACTGATTGAATGACAGCGATAAATATGTCACAGTTGGCATGCATGAAATAATTAAAAACAAAACAATATTTTACAAAAAACATCATATTATTATATAGAAAGAATAAAAATTCATAAAGAATGCGAAATAATTGATTTTAACAAAAGTTGACAAAACCAATTCATAATAAATAGAAAAATACAACAATATGTGTTTTCAAGTGTTTTTCAAATCTAACTAATAATAAACCAAGGATTTATCTTATATGTATTTCAGTTTTTTCTAAATGTTCTACTATTTAGATTGTATGAATCATGCAGTTATTCATGTGTATTTGTTGTATTCAAGCTTTGGTTTCATTAAGATATAAAATAATCAAAAGATTTAGAATTACTTTATTGCATCATTTTAAGAATAATTATTTTTTTTAGTTTTTAAATTTAAGTAATTCAATGACATTGATCAAATATTACATTTTTCTCTAAAAATCTTTACGGATCTTATAGTATTACTTGCAGTAGTTCGAAAAGAAAATTAAGTTTTAATTTCATTAGAAATTATAATCGCGATTTATACTCTAATATCTCAATAATAAGACATACGCATCACAGAGGGCATTTTTACTGTCGAAAATATCCTTCATTCCATCCATGCTTATTATACGTTCGATTCAACTATTTTCATAAAAATAAAGTATCTAGGTGAAATTCCAGTTTTAAATATTATTTGAGAATCCTGGATGGAAATTTTTTTTTCATTAATGACTTGACAAAAATGCTATGTATTAATTGTATCTATTGTCAAAGAATAATTATAACAAAAATTTATACTCATTGAAGAAAACAAAAAACTACTCACGGTATAAAGAAGCTGTCTAATTGTATACATTTAGGATGTTTATTATCAGAAAATTAGAGAAATGCTATTCAAATCTTAAAAAATTAGATATATGATGGTAGGTGGCAAGAAAATTTACTAAAATTTACCATGAGAAGAGGGGGGGGGGGGGTCATAGATGAATCATACAGAAAGCTAAAGAGAAACAATTCCTACAAAGTTTGAAAATTATCCATGTAACATCTATTCTTTGTCCATAAAGTTCAATTTTCTTGATTGCAATCTATTGTTTCTTTTATGAAACACGATCTGAAAGGAGTGTTGAAGTGGTTAGGGGTAGAAATTTGGACCCCCCCCACCCCCCCCCCCCCCCCCCGGGCGCAGCCCCCCCCCACACCACCGACCCCACTCCCCCCCACC